TAACCCAGACAGAAAAAGTTGAAAATCGCATATCACTTATATGTAGGATATAAATCTAAAAGCAACAAATGAGCAAGACAAACAAACAGAGACTCATGGACATGGACTACAGACTAGTGGTTACCAGAGGGCTGTAGAATAGTGGTTAGTAGCGGGATGGGGGAGGACGGGGGAGGTAGACGTGGTAAAGGGGTCAAATATGGGTGGGGGGATGGAGAGGGTGAAGTGGGTAAAGGGGATTAAATGTATAGTAGCTGAAGGAAACTGGACTTTCGGTGGTGAACACACAATAAAATATACAGATGTCAAATGATAATGTACACCTGAAAACTATATGATTGTTAACCAATGTTACCACATAAACTTAATTTAAAAAAAAAAAAAGAGAGATAAAATAACAAGGTGAGTGATACCATTAGCAAGCAATCAGATAAATCCAGAACATGGAATACTTTATAGGATAAATGACCTGGTTTCTCTAACAAACTGATGGCATAAAAATAAAAAAAATTTTTTTAAAGAATCAGACTTAGGAGACATAATAACAAAATACAGTAAGGGAACACTATGGGATCTGGGTTGGAGACTCTAACTTGAAAAAGACACTTTTTAGGTAACTGAAAAAACTTAAAAATGAACTAGGCTTTGGATGACATTAAAGAATTTTTAATTCTTCTGTTTGGTATAACTGCATGGCGGTTACATAATAACCAAATATTCTTATCAGTTAGAGATGTATACTGAAACATTTTAATAAAATGGTCTACCTCTGATTTGCTTTAAAATACTCAAAAAAATTGTTAAGGGGAGGAGAGGAAAGATGAAAAAATAGCAAAATGATAACTACTGAAGCTGGCTAAAGATACATGAAATTTCATTTTACTATTTTTCTTGGTTTTGGTATATTTGAAAACTTCCATAATAAAAAAATTAGGGGGTACTGCTCTCGGGGGAGTTAACATACAGTAAAAATTAAAAACATCTGACCCAAGGGTATCAGATAAGGGATTATGAAGCTGTAGTTCTTCCTGAAGATCAGAAAATGTTTCAGGCTTCTGTGGTAAATGTTTCAAGAACTTTACATTTTCACTAAGCCTACAGCATTATCCCACAACCAGGCTAACTTCATGAATTACCAATTACATCAGCTAATTTAAAAATGATAAAGAGCAGCTCTGAAAATAAATGAGTCTAATTTTTGCCATGTCATAAATGTTATACTGTTGGTCACATGTATGCTTCAGCAAGAATGAAAGCAAGGCTGATGAAAATTCCATCACTGACACTAAAACATAATTAAAATACTCTAAAAGCAGGCCACTTAAACTTGATTTTTACCTCCTTTTGTTTAAAAAGGTGTTAACAGCAATCAGCTCTAAGACCAGTTTCTGTTATTGTATTCAGAATATTACTACAATAAATAATTGCCAAAACAACCTGTGCTCCAAAACTTGGCAGGCCCAAAGCAAATGTTTCCACTTCAAACCAGATAACCAGAATCACTACCTGTGATATAAGACATATATAATAATATGTGATATATTGTAGCAAAGTTCTATAATTTTTATAACCTGTAAAACACTCAATTTAGAAATTTTCCTATTAGTTCTTTCAAGAATACAAGTGGTCAATTTATAACAAGAGTAAACTTATTTTCCTAAACATGAAAGTGTTAATCTTTCTGAAATCATGCATGTGATTCCAGATATTAAGACTTCTTGACTGCCCTCCTCTAAATTCTACAAGTGTATTTAACATATGCCCCTACAATGGCTTCGCTCAAATAAGAAAACAGTTGTTTTTAATCATTCAAATAAAGGTCTCAGTGCTATTTTAGGCTGTTTATATTCTTCTAGTCTTATACGAAATATGTGTGTGTGTGTATGTGTGTGTGTATACATCTTACACATATCCTTATGTGTAAATATATACACACTTACATATCAAATACTTTGTCATATATTCCCATGTTATTGTTCTTCTGTTAAAGAGTACATACTGTACAATATAAATAGCCTGCTTTTACCACATATGTAAGCTTTTATTACAAAGGAAGCTGTGATGAAATTCCTTTCACATAAATCTTTATTTCCATCTCTGACTACTTCCTTAAAATAAATTCTTAGATTTCATCTTGATCAAAGTGTATGAATACTTTCAAGGCTCCTGAGAAATATCACCAAATTGTGCCTCCAGAGAGGCTGTGTCAATTAACACACAAATTAACAATGTATGAGTGTACCCATTTTATTTAATCCTTCACATGATTTTTTAGATCTTTGCCAATGTGATGGGAGAAAGTAATAATACATATTTTAATTTGTATCGCTTATTAACAAGTGAGAAGAAAATCTTTCACATTTCTTGGCTATTTGTATTTCATCTTTTATAAACTACATTTTCATTGCTTTCTATATTTTTCTACTAAGAAATGCCTCTTTTGCCTACTGGATTATAAAACCTCTTTGTATATGAAAATATTAACTTTTAACCTGTTATATATGCTTCAAATATTTTTCCTAATTTGTCAAATATCTTTTTGCTTTGTTTCTGTTGTGGTTTATAGTACAGAAATTTTTTTCACCTTTATATGCTCAATCTAGAAGCCAGCGGAGCAAATAATTAGAGATTTGGACTTTGAGGTCACAAACTGCATTAAAAATCTGGTTTAAACACTTTTTAGATGTGAGAAAATGGGCAAACTACTTAATTTTTCTAAGAGTCAGTTTCTTTCTCTATAAAATGGAGATACTGACACATAACACATAGAGCTGTTAAGAGGATTACATTCATTCGTTCCCTCATTCACTCTTCGTTTCCTACCATGTCTGTCAGGCAAATAATAAGAATTCATTATTATTATCATTAAAAAACATTACATATTAATTTTTGACAGCAGTTCTCAAACTTAAACGTGCATAAAAATCACTCAAGACCCTATTTAAAAAAAAAAAGCAAAAACCTAGATTCCTAGGCTTCATTTCCAGTTTTTGATTATGTAAGTTCAGGATAAGGCCGTAAAACACATTCTTAATAAGCATCATCAGGTAATTCTGAGGCAAGCAGTCTAGGAATACTCCAAAAAGAAATACTTGTTCAAGGATTCTGCCTTTGGCAATAGACGGAATATCCTTCCTCACGCCAGAATTAAGTAAATACTGACCTATATTTTCTCCTATTATCCTTATGGGTTCTTTTAAAAATATTTAACCCATCTAAAATATATTTTATTATATTGTGGCTAATATATTTTATTATATAGTGGCTGTCTCTCAACACCATTTGTTGAATAATCACCCTTCCCCCTCTGATTCGAAAAGATCTCCTCTACCACCAAGAAACTCTTAGTTTCCACTGTTCTACCACATGTGTTAATAACTGGTAAGGAAAATTCCCTCATTACTTTTGCTTTTCAAAATTTTCTTGCTCGTAATCTTGCCTATTTGATTTGCCAATTTTTTTCTGTGCTCAATAAATATTTATTGACTTAATAGAGGCAGTGGAATTTACGAATAGAAATTAACTTCATAATAATTCTCCCAAAGTCTCGCTGGGATTTTGCTTGGAATTATTTAAAAACTGAAATTAATTAGAAACAATGTCTCTCCGTTTCTTCAGGTCTTTTAATATGCAAGTATATTTTCTTTATAAAGACCGCTTAGTAACTATATTCTTTGTTTTATATTTCCATTATAGACAACTCAGATTGCTTAGGATCTGATCTAAGTTCTAACCTCTACTAGCTTGTGCAAGATAATGAGATAATGTATGTAAAATGTGCAGTACTGAGAGAAAATGTTCGATGAATGTTAGCCAATATTAGTAACAATAAAATTAATGACACCATTCTCTATATTTTCTAACTAGTTACTGCTTATTTGCAGGAAAGTTGCTGGTATTTTCTTATTTATCTATGACCAAAAATATCCCCTGAACTTTCTTATTATTCATAACAGTTTTTTAGTTAATTCTCTGAATGAGAATACTAGCTGCTTAAAATTTTAAAAAATAGCAAAAAAAAAAAAAAAGGCATTGACAACACAAAAAAAAAAATTTTTTAATATTAACAAAAAAAATTAAAAGGCAAATGAATTGGAAAATTTTCCAATAGTACATATAAGTAATTTATGGCATCTACCTATCAGTAAAAAGATCATTCAATAAGCTGTACTGAAACAAATGATTGGTTATAATTAAAAACATTTAAATTGGATTCTCAATTCAAACCATATGCCAATATAAATACCAGAGAGAACAAAAAAAATCAAAGCTCAAAATCGAACCTTAAAAATTCCAGACCACTCTTAGCAGAACTATTTATAATAGCCAAAAAAAAAAAAAAAAAAAACCTGAAACTAAAATGTCGTTTTAAGTAAACGTCATTTTTTTTTAATTTACTTATTTATTATTTATTGCCTGCCTTCCCCAACCTGCCACCCCCACTCCCAACCACACTAGAATATAAACTCTAAAAGAGCAGAGACTTTTTTTGTTTCCTGCACTGATATATTCCAAGATCGTATACCTGGCAAAGAGGAACGATCAGTAAATATCTGCTGACAGAACTGTTCATCAACAGAATAGATAAGCTGTAGTATATTCAGACGATGGAATACTACACAGTAGCAAAAATGAACATCAGTTACATATACCATCGTGGATCACTCTCAGATAATGAGCAAAAAAAGTTTCAGAATAACACATATGGTATACAATGCAAAATTATAAAAAGTAAATATGAAGTGTTTAAGGTAGTTTCCCAATAGTACACCCGAAGATAGGCAATTAGGGCTATATCTTGAAAAATATAAAAACTACAAAAATACATTTATTTTATAGTTCACAAAAGTTAATCTATTATTTCAATAAATATTTCTTGGTGGTTACTTAAAAAAGGGAAGGAAAAAAAACCCTCCATATCAACTCACTTGCAAAAAAGAGAATGGAAATCCAATCCCAAAGTAAAATAGTCAACAGGGGTAAAGGAAAGTCAAACATACCTATAAGTTCAGGTGGGTTTCTTTCATTAAATCGCTCACACAGACGAATAAATGTCTCTGTATTCTCAGCTGTAGGGCACTCGCCATGTCTAGTAATATGAAAAAAAAAATTTAAAGAAGAGATTACAAATTTCAGCAGGTTTCAATATTAAAGAATCTTAATACATGACTTACCCTTTACACTGAAGTTTTATATATTTGATTCCTTCTTTTTCTATGTCATTTCTGTCATAGAACCTTGAAGTATTTGTCAGATCCACCAGCAAGCCCATTTTAACCTTAAAAAAAAAAAAAAGGTCAGATTTACTAGTAACTGAACTTGTTCCAAAACAAGTTAACTAAATGACAATACTCCAGTTCATCCAGTTCATCCATCTACACTGAAGGAGATTTTATGTTCACTCTGTCAATGAACTATTAACAATGTGAGGACCACTTATCCAAGTCTTATTCAAGGAACTAGAATTTAGAAGGCACTAACTGAATGAAATAAATTAACTCCCCAAAAAATAAAGGCACAAAAACATAAGCAAAACAGACTCCACTTCAACATCATAAAAGTCTACCTAAAAAAGCAAACACTGATATAGTTTTCTGCATGTCATTACCCCTATGATTTATTAGACAAGAGGCTAGAGCAGGGATAGCATCTATCTGAACTACACCCTACCTGAGCTCCAGGCACACATCAATCCAGCATTCCAAGCAACCATCAGTACATCATATGTTAGGCAGTTAAATTCTAAAGCAAGTATACAGGGTAAAAAGTGTATACGATAAAAATTCCCTTGTAAATTCTTTAAATAATCAATAAATAACAGTATGCATGGCCATATTTGTGCATCTCATTGAAGACTTACTCCTAACTCTCAGCCAGTTTTTCTTCCTGCATTGGAACAAAAATCATTTTCTTCTGTCAAGTGCTAACTGACGTAATTGGCTTGTGTTTAGGGGCTATGTGGTTTGAAAAATCTTTAACAACTAGAATCACATTCAGCCTGGCAAGACAGTCTTGCCCAGAAATGCACACCTGAACTGAGCCAAAAATTAAAAAAATAAAAGTTAACCATACATCTTCCGCCTCATTCTAACAATTTAGAAAGTATAGATTATTTCTCTTGCCATACTTCAAATATGGAGTTGTTATTTTTCTCTCTTTTGTTGTTCTTGCATTTTTGAGTACCTATTGTTATTTTTCTCTCTTCTGTTGTTTTTGCATTTTTGAGTACCTATTGTTGGATTTGCCTAAATGAGAATAGTCTACATAATGATTCAATTCCATTGTTACGGGGGGGGGGGAAATGACAAAAACATTTAAATTTCACACATAATAAAACAGACAAAATTGTGTGCTTTAAAATATAACTAGCTGCCATAATGTGCTCTACTGATTTTTCCAGATTCCTTAGCTCTTGTGTAGATGAGAGACATGTCTACGAATCAGGTTAGCTCTTACTTTCAGGAAATGTATTTTTACATTCTGATGGTATTTTCTATAATTTGCCACCCCGGACTTACTTCTTTACCCACAGCTTCTGCAGTGATCTTAATTCCTTCAGAGGTATACATTACCAAATACAAAGATTCAGATACTATATTACAACTTCTCAATGAGTTAGAATTAGAACCCATGTTGTTTATCTCCAGGTTCAAAATGAGAAGTGAATGTAAAGTAAATCTCTAACCATGAAGCAAAGATAATAATAGTATTACCTCACAGAGTTGTTTATGATGTTTAAATGAAGTCCTTACTCTGTGTCAAGCACTATTCTACATGCTTTACATGCACTAATTTTATTTACAGATAAGGAAACTGAAACATCAAGAGACTGTGTAACTTGCCCACAAAGCTGTAAGTGACAAACTGGAATTCAAACCCAGTCTGTCTGGTTTCTAAGTCCAAGTTCTTAGCATACTGCCTAAGAAATATTTAATGGTTTATATATGTTAACTATGACTTTCAATGCAATTATTGATAACAAAAATAAAAATTTTAGGTTTATGAGCTAAAATAAAAGATATAAAGAAAAGACTCAAAACTACACCAAGAAAAGGGATGAGTAAAAGGTTTTCAAAACCTAAGTGGTAAGAGGAGCCTTGCACATAATGAGCACTAATATTTGTTGTATGTACTAATATATAGCATACCAAGAGTATAAAATAGAAGAGTAACAAAGATTGGCGTTATGAGTTGAATCATGTCCTAACTTCCTATGAATATGACCTTATTTGGAAATAGGGTTACAGAGTCTTTGCAACTGTAATCAAGTTAAAATGAAGTCATACTGGATTAGGGTACCCTTTTAAGAGAAAAATTTGGACACAGATACACACAGGAAGAATATCAACAAGGGAGAGAGAACTGATGGAAGTGCAAGCCATGGAATGCCAAGATTGTTGGCAATCACGAGAAGCTAGGAGAAAAGAATGAAAAACATTCTCCCTCCAGGCCTCCAGAAAGAACCAACCTCACCAACACCTTGATTTGGAACTTACAGCCTCCGGAACTGTGAGAGAATAAAGGTCTGTTGTTTTAAGCCACCCAGTTTGTGGTAACTTGTTACAGCAGCCCTGGGAAACTAATACAATCAGTATTATGTCAGAATAACAAAAAAAAATTACAAAGTTTCATTTAGGAAAATAATCTGGCACATTCTTATAAGATTAACCATGCACTCAGAAATCATATTCTTGGGTATTTATCCCAGAAAAATGAAAACACGTTCACACAAACACCTGTACATGAACATTCATGGCAGCTTTGTTCCCAATACCCCACAACTGGAAACAACTCAAAATGGCTAAAAGGTTATTTAATCATTCAGCAGAAGAATGGTTAAATTCTAACACATCCATACAACTGAATATTATTCAGCAATAAAAAGGAACAAACTTTCTGTTGATACATGCAACAATTTAGATAGACCTCAAGGGCACTATGCTTAGTGAAAAAAAAAAAGCCAATCCCAAAAGGTCATATACTGTTTTATTCCATTTACATAAAATTCTCAAAATGACCAAACTACGGAGATGGAGGACAATTAGCAGCTGCCTGAGGGAAAGGGGCTGGGAAGAGGGTCTGACTATAAAGGGGTAGTATGAGGGAGTTCCTTTGTGGAGACGGAATAGTTCTATGACTACCACCACAAACCTGTACATTGAATCAAACTGCAAAGAACCATGCACACATACACACAAATAAATGCATTTAAAAACTGGTAAAAACTAAATAAGTTCTACAATCTAGTCAACAGTTCTGAACCAATGTCAATTTCCTGCTTCTGATAGTGTACTGCAGTTATATAAAATGTCACCACTGGGAAAAAACTGGGTGGAGGGTCATAGAACTCTGTATCCAATTTTTGCAATATTTCAAAACAGAAGGTTGGGTTTTTTTAAGCCACCTGAAGAACAAGAGTGGGATAAAGTATATTAAATCAGTATCAAAATGTTTTGTTTCTTACCTTCAGACTCTTTAGATAATTTGAGAGCATACTGGGATGGAACCGATTTTCTTCAGCAACTTGACTATCGTATCTTGGTCCTAACATTGTCTTCAGAGGTAAGAATCTTCCTAAACAACATGAGAATGGGTAACAATTTTCATTAAAAAAAAAAAAAGTTCCAAGTTAAAACTCTATTAGCAATTCTCAAAATCACTCTGTTAAAATGTTTTAAACTGTTCATGAAGTACTCTTGATCTAAACTATACTTTTAAAAGGTATTGCCTTAGAACTTTTAAGGACAACATAAATTCTAGAAATTGACAATCAAATATAATAGCAAAAGAGAAATTCCCAGGTAATGGAACTTCCATAAAGACTCTTAAGTTCTAAACCATTCCATTAAAAGTTATTGCCTTAAAATCTTTAAAGATACAGTACTAGAGAACTGAAAATGAAGTGAATCAAATTGATTCTTTAAAATTCCTAATTATACCTTTTTAACATGAGCTTGGAACTTTCCCCCTCTTATGGACCTTATCCTACATCTCAGAATAAGAATTATGCTGAGAGACATGCTAACCAAAATCACTCTACAAACAACTATCAGTGATTATAATCTCAGCAAGACTAAATGACCTTTTTGGCCTTCTTTTCTGAATCACGATATAAGCATAGGGGAAGTCACTTTATATAAATCACCTATTTTTAACTGATTTAAATTTTAAAACACAATAAAATCAGTAAGAATAAATATCTACCTAAAATACATCTAAGTGAAATCTTAACATGTCCAAAGGCTTTAACCTAAATTTCAGAAACAAATAATTTTTTTTAAATCTTTTTCTACAAGACCACTCAAGATCACTAATAACCTCTACAGTGCAAAATCCAAAGGTCAATTCTCAGCTCTCAAACAACTAATCACTTTTTAATTCAAGAGAGAGCTTTTGAAACATTTTTTGCACTTGGCTTTGAGGACACATCCTCCTAGTTTTCCTCCTATCTCTCTGGCCTCTCCTTCCCAGTCTCCTTTACTGGCTCCTCTTTATCTCACTGATCCTTCAATGTTTTGTCCCAGGGCTGTCCTTGGACCTCCTTTCTATCTTACACTCACTCTCCTGGCATCTCATCTAGTCTCATAGCTTTAAAAGCCATCAATGTGCTGATGACTCACAAATGTGTATCTCCAGCCCAAACCTCTCCCTTAACTCTACACTCAGATATGAAAATGCTTGGCTTAGTCTCTACTTATTATCTAACAGTAGTCTCAGACTTGATATCCAAATCTGAGCTTTCAATATTCAAACTTGCAAAGCTGCTCCTCTCATGGTCTTCCCTATCACAGCAAATGGTAACATCATCTTTTTAATAGCTTAGGCCAAACTCTTTAGTTATCCTTGATTCCTCTCTTTCTTGTACACCCCATATCCAATCCATCAGCAAATCCTATCACATATATCTTTAAAATATCTCCAGAATCTGAGCACTTTTCGCCACCTCTACCATTATTTCACCTAGATCATTATACTTCATTTAGTTTACTTAACAGATATTTAATGAGCGCCTATTATGTACGAGACATTGTTCTAGCTGCATGGAATACATAAGTGAAAAGGAAAAAAACAGATAAACTCTCACCCTGATAGAGCTTAGACTCTACTGGGAAAAGATAAACTGTAAACAATAAATGTAATAAATAAGTAAAAAATATGGTATAAGATTCATCCCACTAGACCTTCTCTCCAACTATCTAGCAAACTTCTATTTATTCAAGATAATTTATGTATCAGCTCCTCTGGGAAGTCTTCCCTGATCCCCTTCGTCTTACCCATCTCCTCTTACCCAAAGAAAGGATTAGATTCATTACTTCTGGTATCCCATAATATTCTAGAATACAGTCACTACTCTATTTATTACAACAGAATTGTGTTTAAAAATGATGGTTTGCTACTCCAATGAGACTACGTGCTGTTTAAGGTGAAGGACTATATCATAATCATCTCCCTAGCCCCAAGGAGTAGCAAAAGTAGATATTCAAATATCTGCTAACAAAAATGACTTCAAAGTCACTATCACAAACTGTCTCATGTTTATATTCCCAGTTAGTTCCTAGTAAGTTCTTTAGATATAGTAGGCACAAAATAATTTAATGTTGAATGATCTTTAAGAAATGTGAAGTTGTTTTCTTCAGTGTTCACCTGAAATCTATCACTCAGGAGAATAAAAGAATTCTTCAGAAATAAAGCTTGGCCTTATCTCCAAGAGCTCTCCTTCATTAGTAATCTGGTTTAATTAGAGAAGTTGACCTCAAAGTAGAACAGACTATATATAATTAGTACCTTATTTCTGATACAGGAAAATGATGACCTTCTAGTACTAATAAAATGCATCCTAATGTTTACAATGAGAAAATTTAATTTAAGCAGGCATAGCATTTTCCTATATATGCAAAATATCAAATTAAGCAATAAGCATGGATTACTTTAATAATTAGAAAAAACTAAGAGGAAAAACTAAGAGGAGGTAGAGAATGAGAATGGGAATGATTCCTTACTTTTCGCTACAGCTTGCAAGAATACAGCTAGTAATTCTTGCTTGGCTACTATAAAACACTGCTAACCATTCATTTCCAAAATTCACAATGTGGCATGAATGCTTCTAGGACACAGAAAGACAGAACTTTAAAGGAAATTCAAAGACACATCAAGAATTCTATGTTGCATTCACTTTACTTTCTAATAAGCATCACAAGCTAAAGCACTATTTATCACTAGCAATGATCCAGTTTGTCAGGAGGCCTGCGGTTCCATCCAGGGACCACAGTCAATTAGATAAGTGAGCTTAGTGACTCACTGAACAATAATAATTAAGAATCCAGCTTTTGGGGGCCAAAATATTCCAATATAATATAAAGGAAAAACTTTATTCCTGACTCTTCATACTCAGCAGCCAGTATTCTGATATGTCACTGCTATCCTGCAGACCATATTAAAATTTTGATTATTAAACTGCTTTCCTAATTCTAAAAAAAAATTCACTTTGACAAAAACTACTTTATGATTATTTTTCTCACAAATCGGCATAGCAAATAACAAACGAAAGGATCTGGGAAACAAGCTCCAGGCTAGAAAAGAAGCTAGACATGTGAGTTTAGAGGTTTTTTCATAACTCCCGTGAGAAAACAACATGTATAAAGAAAGGATTCAATATCAAATTAGAGATGGCAAGGGGAAAAAATGTCAAAATGACTGGAGAGTAAGCTCTATAAATAAAACGTAAAGAATTGTGATCACTTCATTTGAGGAAAATACAAGTTATCAAGAACTGTTTTCATTACAAATGGATAGAAAAAATGGTTAGAACAAAGAAAATTATTTCATTTTTCATTAAAGAAAAAGATTTCCTCACCTTAAGACGTGCTTAGGTTATCTTTCAGTACCACTTTTATCCATCGTTTATATGGCTTTACTGACTAAAGCTTTTATATAAAATGTGAAGAAAAGCTGACAAACGAGAAGCAGCAGAAAACTTGAATAAAAAAATGACTTACAGAATCTCCTCTTCCAACAATTTTATATAACTAAACATAGTATATATACTCATGACCCACCACAAAAACCTTTCATTTTTGTTTCAAAACACCATCTAGAAAAAGCATACATCCAAAAAAAGGACTTATATTTACAATACATAAAGAACTCTAAAAACTAAAAAATAAGATAAGTAACCCAATTTTAAAATTAGCAAAAGATTTGGACACTTCACAAAAGAAGGTATGTGAATTGCCAAGAAGCACGTGAAAAGATGCTCAACATGAAACCACAATAAGATATTATTAAACACCTATTACAGTGGGTAAAATTAAAAAGACTGATCATACCAAGTGTTGGAGAGGATGTTGAGAAAATAGAACAATCATATATTGATGATGGAAATGTAAAATGTTAAGACTTTGATAAAGAGTTTGGCATTTTTTTAAAAGATTAAATGAACACCTACTATATAATCCATTGCTATCCTAAAAATTTACATAAGTGAAAGCATATGTCTATACAAAGAATTGCATATATATGTGAATTTGTAATAACCAAAAACTAAAAACCCAAATGACCATCAAGTAAATGAATAAACGAATTGTGCTGTAACAATGGAATACTACTCAGCAATAAAAAGGGATGAACTATTGCTACATGAGAACATGGATATATCTCAAAATAATAACGCTGAGTGAAAGAAGCCAGAGATCTCCCCTCAAAGAGTACATACACAATGTTTCTCTTTATTTAAAAATGTATAAAAATTCAAATTAATCTATAGGGACAAAGCAGATCAGTGGTTGCCTGAGGAGGGAGGGATTACAAAAGGGCAGAGGAGACTTTCTGGGGTGATGGGTTATGTTCACCACCCTTGCGGTAATGGTTTCATGGGTTGTTTCATAGAATATGTGTGTGCGTATAGCCGACATTTATTAAACTGTACGCTTTAAAGTTTGTTATGTGTCCAACTCAACGAAGATGAAGAAATCCATAATAACAAGTCATTTAAACAATTTTTTTAAACTGCATTCTCTTGCCGATCCATTACACCGCAGGGAACTGCTCCGCCTCTTTAGCCTTCCTCTACCTCAAGCGCGACACTTGTTCCTTCCCCTTCCAAATACCCTGAAAGGTTCACAAACTTATGATTAAGCTTCAAAGTATTGCCCACTGTACTCTTGGGTCCTCAGCTCCTGTTACAGAAACCTCCAGTCGACGTTCCTGTCCGCAATACTTAGCCTTACTGTATAGTGACAAGTGCCCCCACGCACCGACCCACCCGCCTCCAGTCCAAGTTCCCAAACACTCATCCACGCAGCTTCATCGAACCAAGCACATCTCAGTCATTAAATACCACTAGCAAATACAAACACCGAAAGCTGCGACCCTCAAACGGCCCACCCCAGGACCGCCGGTGGGCGGGGACTCGAACACCCCTCTCGGGATTACCTGCCACCGGCTGGCCCCTCCGCGGACAGTTGAGCCACCGCGGCGGGATCTTGTTGTGAGCCATGTCTCGGAGCTACGCAGAGCCGCCCCCTTCGCCAACGCTCACCGCCTCTGCCGCCGCCTCCTGGCGGTCCGTTCCGCACCCGAGGTGCAAGGCACCCGAACCCCCGCAGAGGTCCAAATTCCAGCCGCTCCTACTCGGATAACGTCAGGGACTGCGCGCCACTTTCATTCAGGCTCAATTCCATGGCTCTAAGCGAGCCCATAATGCACCGCTACTTCCGCCCCCCAAGCCCCACCCTCTTCTTTCCGAGGTCAGAGGGGAAAAAAGGGAAGCTCCGCGGAGAGATGGGAAGGAGTTAAGGCCCAAGCGAATGAGAGGCGGTAGTTTTCTCTCGCTCCGCCCCGCCGAGATCCCGGCGCGCTCGTAAACAGTTTGCGCAGGCGCAGTTGCTCTCGTAGGGGCTGGAGGGACGACATCCATTTTGTTTTCGCATCCCGGCAGCTGGTAGAAACCGCCCAAGAAGGGTAGAGCACGCTCTTTCCGTGCGTAGACTGGGCCGCCGTTTTCTTCAGGACATCAACTTTATTAATGAAAGAGGCCTTCCTGCAGTTATCGCACAGCTCAAGAGCCTGATCGCCCTTTTTTTGGCCAAGCTTGGCGTCCCGACAGTTTCTGAGTTTGATTTGGAATTTGGTAAGTTTTCCCTGAGGTGGATTAGGGAAAGCAGTTTTAGAGTAATTCCAAGGGCGAGTGATTAGAGCACCAGAAATGAATTTCTCTTCCGGGGGAGAGGGAGGAGTACTTCTAAGGATCTACTAAATATCTGAAATTAATTCAAAAACTTCCGTTTAAAGAGTTTTGTTTGCCTCTTTCCGTACCCAGCGCAGCCATGGCTCGTGGTCCCAAGAAGCATCTGAAGCGCGTAGCAGCTCCAAAGCATTGGATGCTGGATAAACTGACGGGTGTGTTTGCTCCTCGTCCATCTACCGGTCCCCACAAGCTGAGAGAATGTCTCCCTCTTATCATTTTCCTGAGAAACAGACTGAAGTATGCCCTAACAGGAGATGAAGTGAAGAAGATTTGCATGCAGCGGTTTATCAAGATTGATGGCAAGGTCCGAACTGATGTAACCTATCCTGCTGGGTTTATGGATGTCATCAGCATTGACAAGACCGGAGAGAATTTCCGACTGATTTATGACACCAAAGGTCGCTTTGCTGTTCATCGTATTACACCTGAGGAGGCCAAGTACAAGTTGTGTAAAGTAAGAAAGATCTTTGTGGGCACAAAAGGAATCCCTCATCTGGTGACTCATGATGCTCGCACCATCCGCTACCCCGATCCTCTCATCAAAGTGAACGACACCGTTCAGATTGATTTGGGGACTGGCAAAATTACTGATTTCATCAAGTTTGACACTAGTAACCTGTGTATGGTGACCGGAGGGGCTAACTTGGGAAGAATTGGTGTGATCACCAACAGAGAGAAACACCCTGGCTCTTTTGATGTGGTTCATGTGAAAGATGCCAATGGCAACAGCTTCGCCACCCGGCTCTCCAACATTTTCGTTATTGGCAAAGGCAACAAACCGTGGATTTCTCTTCCCCGTGGCAAGGGTATCCGCCTCACTATTGCTGAAGAGAGAGACAAGAGACTGGCAGCCAAACAGCAGTGGGTGAAATGATCTCTAGGTGACAGATTGGAAAAGTCTTTGTACCTAATTAAAGTTAAATATAGCATGAAAAAAAGTTTTGTTTGTACATTTCTAGAGCAAAGTGTCAAAGTGTATTTGGGAGTCTCAGAAAGTCCATGTCTCAAAGTTACTAATGTGTATAATTGATAAAGGCAGGAATCACCTAATGGGATACCACTATGTGGTGGTGGTCTCCTTTGCCTTAAATGGTCTTTCCATTCCAGTTAAGCAGGGGTGATTGGAAGCATTTTATAAACACTGGTAATAAGGCTTTCTTTGTGTAGTTGACTAAACTATTAAATATAAGCTGGACAATGGTAAATTGTAATGTAGCAGCTTGGCTTTAATCACCAATGCTCTATTTGAATTGCAAGAGTGAAGTTTAGGGGAATATATCTTAAAGAATCAGTGGGAATCCTGAGCAGCTCAACCCCTACATGCTTGGGCCCTCTCAGTATGAGTCAGTTCCATAAATAGGGTCCAATGGCTACCTCTTTGGAAGAGCCTCACTCCTGGTCTGTCCCACTGTTGTATCTGCTGAGATCTTTTAGTGAAACTGCCCCTCCTCCCCTGACAAGACAAAGTAAAACTTGTTTTTTTTTTTACCAGCCGGCATCCTGCCTACATGATTCCCAATTCTCTTTGCTAGCAGAGAGCATGACTCTGCCTACACCTTGATTTCAGACTTCTAGCCTCCAAAAAGGTGGAAATAAATTTGGTTTTTTAAGTCAAGTTTATTGAGATATAATACAGTTTCGTGACTTGAATGTGTAAATCTCCAAATGTTCCCTCACACCCCTTTGTAATCTTTCCCGACTCCAAGGTCCTGGTACCACTGATCTCTGACTCATTTTACCTTTTCTGGAATATATAAACAAAAGCATATAACATATAAATCATATAGCCTTCTGTCTGACTTTTTTCCCTTAGTGTAATGCATTTGAGATTGTTGTTTTAAGCCTCTCAGTTTGGGGTACTTTTTTATACCAGCTCTACAAAACAAATACAAGGCCCTAAAAAATCTGGATCTACCCCTATTCTACCCATGCTCCCTGGTTCTAAAGCTCTTGGATCTAGTGTGTCCTCTGTACCAAAATCCCTGGCCTTAGTATAAATGCAGACAACTTTTCCCAAGCCATTTTAAATTTACTTGGTGCACTCGGGGTTTTAGTGCCCAAAAGTCTGTTCTACAGAACTCAGACATTCAGCCACAAATACTAGATTACTGTTTACTGTAACAGCACTGGGGTCTTAAAAGGCAGAAACTGCTAGGTGTCTATCTCTTCGGGTGGCAAGCATTAATTCAGGTATCTGTTAGTATCTCCAGAGTCCTCAGTGGCTAGAGGTCTACTGTCCCTGAAGTGGGATTCCACCCCAGAAAATGCCCTCAGACCCAGTGGTTCATCTTCTATCAAAAGGCTTCCCCACTGTATTAGTTTCCTAGGGCTGCCAGATGGCCACAAACTGGGAGATTTAAAACAGCATAAATTTATTCTCTCAGTGCTAGAGACTACAAGTTAAAAATCAAAGTGTTGGCAAGATCATGCTCATTCCAAAGCCTCTAAGGAAAGATCCTTCCTTGGGTCTTCCAGCCTTTGGTAGCCCCAGGCATTCCTTGGTTCCAACCTCTGTCCCCATCTTCACATGGCCATCTTTCCCCTGTATCTCTGCCTTCACATGGCATTCTCTGCTATGGCTGTGTCCAAATTTCCCTCTTCATATGACAGTCATATTGGATTGGGCCACCCTAATCCAGTATAATTTCATTTTAACTTGATTCCATCTGCAAAGACCGTATTTCCAAATAAGGTCACATTTACAAGTATCTCCAGTACAATTCAACCCATAGCACCCACCCCTAACTTCTGGAGGCAGGCCCAGGCTCACAGAAACACAAGCTTTTCTAAACCCTGGGAATTTGAGTTTGTCTTCCTTTTTCAGAGAGCCATGTCATTTTTCAGAAAGTCAAAGGCTGAGACAGGCCTTAAAAGTCACCTTCCATGTCCCTCCCTTTGAACACTGCTAGAAGCTACAGAGAATGAAATATGAGCAAACTCAAATTCACCCTGTCTTCCTTCTCCCTACCAACAGTGCTGAGCCTGCTTGAAGAGTTTAAAATGTTCAGTGGCACTCTTTCAAACCTGATCTTCTCATAGGCTCCAGATATTCCCTCAGTGATCAGTGATTTCTAAAGAAAGGCCCAAATTCATGTTTGCACATTGTTAAAAGACAAACAGGCAAAATATAAATGTTAAGAGTTTATTTGAGCAAAGATCAATTCCAAACGGGTAGCGCCAATCCAGAAGTGGTTGGGAGCATTCCAAGGACAGGAGACAGGGGAAAGACACGTAAAGTATAGAGAAGGTGTGGAAGCAAAAAGGAAATTACTTGATTGGCGGTAGCTTAAAACCCAGTTGGCTGTTTGTGATTGGTTGTCGTTAACCTTTTGATTTCGCAACCGAGAGGCATTTACAGGCTTTAAGTTTTGGATCGCTTACACAGGCCTCAGTGGCATTAGAACCACCTCAGTCTAATGGCCTCCTTGTTTAATCAATTTAACAACATCAATTTCCCAACAAGGTCTCAACATGAAATGACTCCAGTTCCAGGAGTGCAAATATACACCTAACCCTGAACAGGCTCTACACATAGAGTTCTGATTTTCTGGTGTGGAGGTGGAAAAATTAATTTTCCTCCCACCTTTTTAGGTTCTTCTGACTGGACTAATAATCAAATTAAAATGAGACATTAACAGGAGAAAATGACCAAATATATTACATATGTACTGACAAGAGAAAAATTCTGAGATGTCCTAAATTAAATTACAGCAGTCTGAGGAGTGAAAGAGAAAAGAGGACGTCCTTCCATAGTGTAGCAGTTAGCATGTCTGCTTCACATGCAGAAGGTCCTGGGTTTGCACCCCAGTGGAGCTATGGTCCAGAGTCTACAGCCATTCCACCCTGAACAAGCCTGATCCCATCTGATCTCAGAAGCTAAGCAGGGCTGGGCCTGGTTAGTACTTGGATGGGAGACCACCTAGGAAGACCAGGTGCTGTAGGCATAAATAATAATAAATAATTTTTAAAAAAAGAAAGAGTATTTAACCAGTTAATAACTGTGGGCCAATTAACAAAAAGACTGCTCACATTCCTGAATATATCTTGGAGCTTTGAATCAACTTCTGTAGTGATCACTAGGAGCCACCTCATCCTGCTTATGCATGAACTTTCAGGACTGTTGCCCACCACCAATAAAAAATAGTAAATATTTCTTTCTTACAGACTGTGCATCTGTCATAGAACTGCTCCTGCTTCATGTTTTTAACTCTTATCTGTAGCTAATGTAAATTCTTTCAAAACAACTTTTATTTTTCTTCCCCACACATAATGTATAAGAGTCCCTTCAACTACAAGGTGGACATGTTGCCTGCTCCATCTAGCCCACTTTGCTGATGGTTTAGACTTCACACTCCAGGACCTGGTCCTTTTCTGGGTAGCATTTGGCTCAATAAAACCTTTTTTTTTTTTTTCAGAAAAGCTTTCAGCCAGGCAAGTTTTTTAACAGTACATACAGGAGTTCCACAAGAATATGAGACCTGAGTATGCATTGGACTTTTGAGGATTATATGCCATTCTGGACTAGGGAGGGGGGATGTAGGAATCTAGGGATTTAAAGGGAAAGTAGGCAATTCACAAGTAGATGAAAAAAGCAAACATCTGGTAAACAACTTCTTGCTGGGCCGGTTATAGGAGGCTACCAGGAAAAGCACAGTAAAGGGTAAAGTTTGTTATCCAGATTTAAGTCATTGCCTTCTCTGTTGCTATGATTCTCCTGTGATTAGAAGTCATCCTTCTCTTCCTGGTATTAGGAAGAGAAACACTCCCACAATGGAGATTTCCTTTATAAATGAAAATTAGAAGAGTAACTTATACTCTGTTTTCAGAGCTGCTTCTGTGTCTACTATTTCTCAAAAACAATCAGTTCAAAATAATTCTTATGCCAAAGAAGTACATCACGAGGTAGCATATTCTGCTACCCTTCAGTAGGAAATTCCAGCTCTGGCATTCTTGAAGCTTCCTGCCCTCACTTCTAAGCCTAGAATTATATCTTGGTTCCAGGGACTCAGACAATACATAACCAAGAAAGGGGTGAAAAGAAAGTTGGACCTCTTGTTTACTTAGCTTGCACTGACGCTCCATTCCAGCATTATCTCCTGCTCCCTAGACACACTGTGGGAAAAGAGCACCTTTTGTGAGGCCTAATGTTTTGAGAAATTAATTGGAAATTAATTGGGTGGAGACTTGATGACAGAATAGATTTATCAAATGAGGAAAACATCAAAGGTGACTCCACCCTTTCTTTTCTAAATAGGAAGGTCTCCAAGTTCCCAATCAGCTCCAATAATCCTAAGCTATTATTTTTAGTAAAAAAAAAAAAAGCATAAAAAGTGTATATATTGGATCGTTTCTCCTTAATAGTGAGAAGTTGGAAGTATTTGCATTAAAAAATAAAACTATTTTCTCTACAACTGAAAACTGAACCACATGTGGCCACTAGATGGAGCAAAAAACCAGGTAATCCAACTTCCTACTGCTTTTGTTACCAAGAAAAGTAGGTCAGTGAGTCAGGTTCTTCAATTACATATGCGTGTGCCTATTCCAAAAGTTCAATTTGGCCCCGGTTCACAAAATTCATAATAACAGATGTCAGCCTAACCTACAAGATGCTTAAATAGCACTGACTAGCAGGGTGCCTCTGTTATGCAGTTTATATAAGTTTCTTCATTGGAAGATATGGAAGATTAAAAGGAAAAACAAATATTTGCTTTCTAAGCGTGACCGTCAGGGCATGAAGGTTTTCAGAGATATAAATAACTATCTGCTTCTGTGTGCCATAAAAAAATTCCTTCTACTGTTTAAATTATGTGGAACGTTGTCTGCCTTTCCATTTGGGAATAATAAAATTTTACGTGTGAATTGTGCCTTACCATATATAAAGTGTTCAGAGATTTTTCTGATTTGAGCTAATCTTCATAGTTCTGTGAGGTAAACATTGCTATCATTTTATAAATAGATCCATTTTATAAATGAGAAAACAGTCTTAGAGAGGTTTAGTAACTTGCCCAAAGCATTGCAGCCAGGAAGCTGAAGAACCAGGCTGTGAGGTGCTGTGTGATGCTAGAACTCACCAGCAGAGGCAGGAAACCTTTGTTGCAATCCAAACTCTGTCACCCATGCGCATTAAACCTTGAAGTAAAAAAATCTCCTTTAAAGGCCTGATGTTTTTATTTTCCATTTGAAAAATAATTAGATGGTTCCTAAGACACTGCACCTTAAACTTAAAAGCGCGTAATTGCTGGATTCTTATTAAAATGTAAATTCTGATTTAATAGGTCTGGTGTGGGCTTGAGATTCTCCATTTTTAACAAGCTTGGGAATGATGCCTATGCTGCTGTTCGGAGGACCACACTACCTAGTTTTCCTACTGTGGGAAGCTAATCTCTAATATATGCAAAGGAAAACACATCCCAAAACTAAGAAATGGGCAACCATATACCTGCAACAATACTTGCAGTTTGAGATATTCACTAGTAGCTGTCTATTTGAAAAGAACTGTTAGCATTGATCTATCTCTAACATCATTTTATGCTTCTAGGTTAATTAGAGCATATTAGATCCTATTGGGTAATAAAACTTTGTTGTTCCAGTTATCAGACACCAATATACCTAATCATTTGCTTCTTAGATCAATTGTTTTTTTAATATTGATGATAGCACACCTGGCATCTCAGATGGAACCTATTTCCTATGCAACATCTGATATGAAGCTAATGTCTTTGCTATGTGAAACCATAATCTTACCTAATTACATGCTGAGAAACAGATAAAGCATCTGT